AATGTCTGAGCTATCATATTTCTTTGTTGAATTGACACTAGAATTCTTTTTTCATTAAACAGAAGGGTGATAAAATTCTCTTCTTTTTCTTTACGACGACTGTAGATTGGGTCTTGCAATTTATTGTAACCCTTGTACTTGCCCTTGGTTTTGAATCTTTTGATTCCTCTCGATTATGGTTTGCAAAGAAAGATTTGGAATCAATAGGGCATAATGCCTCCACAACTCCCATCAAGCCCATTTATGATGCACGATTCTTTTTAAATCTCCAATTGAGATCATAAGATGGATGCCCTGCAACAAGGCTTTTATTTCAGTTTGAAGGGAGTTGTTGATCATAGAATGCAGTGTAAATCCATTTGCACTTATAATTATTAGAATTGACATGGTTTTGTCTATAAAACGATTAAAGAATTGATTCAAAGAAATTGATTGCTGCCAAATGCAATTCTATTTCTGAGAAAAAGGAATTAGATGACTACCAAACAGGACTGGTAATTCTCAGAATCCATCCTTTTCTAAAAGGATTCTGGAAATGAGATTTTTGAGAATTGATGCCAAACGGGGCCTTAGGCCCCACCTCTTCAACACACAAGTCCAAGTCAATCATGCTGGCTTCTCGAGGATAGTGCACCTACTGTGCTTCTTCATACCCAAGGATTAAATTATTGTATCGGGCGTATCGAGATACACACCGATACGAAAGTGTTGTTTTCAACAAATGACCATGTCTAATATAAAAAAGATAAAAGGGGTAATTAGAACCCAGGCTCGTCAATGCTTAGTCGCGCTACCACCTTCAACCACAAAGCAACTTCTTATTTCACCTCTACAAGTGTAATAAATTATCTTTTATTAAAAGTAATATCTATATGCAAATAGAAAAAGCAACACACATTTATTTTCAACAACTCCAACTACAAATTAAAAAGAACAATATTCAAAATTAGTATTTTATAAATCAATAAAATAAATAATTTATAAAATCCACATATATATATATCAAAATATGAATTTTAATTTAAAAAATTTATACAAATAAAATGATAATAATAGAATTATAATTTTAATACTTAAAATTAATAAATTTTCGCATGACATATATCTTAAATTTTTATTAATTACTAATTAATATATTATTTTGAATTAAATAATAATTTATTTATTATAAAGTATTTGAAAATATAATATAAATTGACCCTATCAAGTCCATTAAACTAAATTTTCTATAAAAATAATTTATTAATTTAGAAATCATATAAAAATAAAATATTAATAATGGAATAATTATTTTAGTAATTAAAATTTATGAATTTTCATATGATATCCAGCTTCAAAATTCTAATAGATTTGATATATCTTAAGTTAAGATTATATATTATTTATAAATTATTAATTGATATTTTGATTTACATTTTATAATAACATATTTATTGTTGACAAAAATAAAAATATTGTTTACCAAACATGTGAGAATTATTTTTTGGTTGAAATTTTTGTTAATGTTAAAAAATGAAAATAAAAAATTAGAAAAAAATGATATAATAATTCAAATATAGTAGTTACATATGCTTAATGCCTTACAGTTTAATAGATAATAAAATAATATTGGATTTTTTGCATGTATTAATTTGTAAAAATCTATATAATATGTACCTTGGACTTTTGATTGACACAGTACTAATAAATTTGTATAATATCTACGTGTCTCACTATATTAATTATAATATATTTCTTCATATATATCATTTAAATATACAATTCCTATGTATTTATACATTATTTATAGTTATTTTGACATTGAGCTTAATGTTATTAATATATTTATGGAATTTGTACGCATTTACTTAGCGTATCCAAGTGTTTCCATATTTTTCGTCCGTATCCATGTGTTTTTCAAACGTATCCGTATTCGTATCCGTATCCAAGTTGCTCAATACGATACACGATATCGATAATTTAATCCTTACTAATACCCTAACTCCCTTTTTCATTTTAGTCCCTTATACACATGCATGACCCATTATGAGTAGATTTCACCTAACCTTGTGGTTCAACATGAAGCCTTCTATACCTAACCTCCATCTAAATCTCTTACCCAACTTGCCCGATCCAATATCCATCTTATAATGACTTGCTCTAAAGTGGGTATTTTGAAACCTTAAACTTTAATATTCTATCAAGTGTCTCCTTGAACCTCACCATAGCCTTGGACCAACTGTTTGGGTTATGGTTGAGTTGGGCGAAATTTCAAAAATTTCTTTCTCCCTTCTGGGAATCCTATTCCCTAATTTAGAAAACTGCATTTTCAAGGTTCGTTCTTGAAACAAACCGAACCAGATTTGAATCCAAAAGAGGGAGAGGAATACCTGATACAGAGTCTGCACAAAATCTCCTCCCAATGTGTTTTCACGCTCAAAGAGGTCACCAAAACCCGCCTCCACTGAAGATGACATAGCTTATGTTGAGGCAGGATTAGCAAAGGGGTTCTTCACCAAGAACCCAGATTCTTCACCAAGAATTGAGTAGGCAGTATGTGAGCACGACTTCAGATTGTTTCTTCTACCAAGAAACAATAATAAGAACTGTTCTTGATCACTCCAAGAGGTGGAGATCTAACTGGGTAGGGCAGCAAGAGCATAGGGAGAAAAAGATTGCATAAAGAATTGCTTCTTTAAGAAGAATTTGCCCTCCTATTTATAACCTTCTTTGGATCAGCTTCCTAATCTAATTAGGAAAGAGTTCTTCAATCCAAATCTTTATTTGGATTTGGACTCTTAAATGTATAAGACTTATCTTATCTTTTAGCTAATCCTAATCAGATTATAAACCAGAATTCGCCCTTTTAATTAAATCACTTAAGCCTAGTTTGAAATGGGCTTTAGGCTCATTTAGTCACATAATTCATTTTCCCTTTAAATGTTTGCTAGTTTGGTTCTCTTTGTATAGCGTGGGACCCTAGCATTGATCTCCACAAAAGCCATATGGGTTCAGCCCAACCTATGTTACAAGGCCTGACCGAATTCACCACTGAAGATAGTGAACCCTTGAGCCCATCAACATGGGCTATTAGTAGGCCCAACATTTACACTAAAGGGTCCCTAGGCCCAGCCCCTTATGAAGGCCTAAGGATTATGGACTTATGTGAGATTAGCCCATCAGGTTTATTATCCTTAAATGGTCTTACACTTAACCTCTCAACCCATAATGATCAAACACTGCCCAACAAGAGAGGACCTCTCCCTCGGTTGCAAGGTGTAGTTTTCCAGTCTCTACTCACATGGATCTTGGGAATTAAAACCTTTTTGCAAAAATTTTGTGAAACCATAATATATATGTATATCTATATAAATATATTTTGCAAAAAAATCTCAACAATTTGAAATCAACCACCGACAGTTTAGGTTTCCACCAGAGAGAGTGCATTCACGGATCATTCACTTTGTCCGAAAAAGGGGTTGATTTTGCCGTTATGATCACCCATTCAGATGAATTCTCAGATTGCCCCAGCATACCCAGGTTTTGACCCCCTCTAAGGATCTCACTGATTGGCATATCAAAGACAGCTCAATCTGACACGTAGTGCAGTACCATAATCGAGTCTAGGGGTCAAGTGTAACTTTTCAGTTTTGCCCATCTGTCTCCAAGGTCCAGGGAATAACTGGAAAATGGTCTGGTCCCAAAGTTTCAAGCAAACCCACACTGCATGTGCTTCATGTCTCACCCCGGCAGCTGAGACAAGCCACCCCAACCCACTTGGCAGCACATCAGTGTTAGCCTTGGCAGGATAAATCTCCCCAGATCTATCCAACGACTGTGAAGATTCTAAACTAAAACGAGTCTCATAAGTGTCTAATTTAAGGGTATTACATAGAAATACACCAATCTAACATGAATCAAATATGTACTTTTTTCATTTACAATAAATGTCATAATGTACATCAAGCTGATTGGAGCTAAGGGCATACACTGTCTAACAGGCCCTGGGTGCCATGTGTCACCTCCACATATGGATAAGTGCAACCAAGAAAGGAGAGCCCCATACGAATAATGAGGGCAGCTCCATCGGGGATTAGGACTTATCCCGAAGACCTTGGTGGACAACCTCATCCCGACAACCCCCAACCCCAGAAGCCTCATATGAATAGGACACGGATCCTCGACTATAAATAGGTAACCCCACTCAAGGTAAGGGACTTTTGACTCTTCAGCACCCATACTGTTATTTTGCCTCTACTCAGACCAGCACATTTCTTTCAATTGCTTGGCCCGACCATCTTCTGTTCCTAACAAACTTGAGCATTAGAGTGCCTACCCGAGGAACAACTCCTCAGGCCTCTGACTACTTTCTTGTTTCAGTTCTTGGTGCACGACTTCATATACAAATACAAATATATACGATACAAGTCAGCTACCACCATAAGTTTGGTGTGTCCTTTTTCAGTGGCAGTCGTGGACTTTTTTAGTGGTAGTCGTAGCTGCCGCTAAAAGTATACTTTTCTATTTTTTTTCAAATAACCTATATTTTTTTTTATTTTTTTTCTAATTTTCATCAAATTACTTGTTTTCTCTATGTTCATTTAAATTGAAATGAAATACAAAAAGAATAAAAAAAACATCAATTACAATTAAAATCTAAAAACCCATTCTCCTTTCAAAACATTTGAATCACAAATACATCTTAATTTCAATTTGGTAAATTCTTGGTTTGTACATGAAATGCTCTCTTCATAATGCTATTAGTTCTAGAGTTAGATTTGTCATTGCCTGATGTTGATGCATTTTCCATATATTAGCTTTGTCATTACTGTAATTTCTCTTAGCTAAACAAAGTCGTTACTGAACAGATTTGTCACTGCCTAATGTTCTAGAGTCAGAGTCAGGTTTGTGATTATTGAACAGCTGAAGTACCTTTATACTTCATGATAAATTCATTTTCCATATCTTAGCTTTCTTCTGTTGATGCAATCTCAAGCAATGCCCACCAAAGAGGAGATAGTTTAGGTGTATGTTGTTCCATCAGGCCCCGTTGCTGTAATTTCTCTCAATCGAGCAGTAACCTCTCTCATTGTTGGTCTCTGCTTTGGGTCAAGATGAACACAAGATCTTATAACCTCTAGCAGTTTCTTGAGTTCCTCTTCTTGGAAACCTTTCAGAGTTGGATCTACTATTTCTTTAAGGGACTGCTCCCCTCTAAATGCCCAGTCAATAAGTGGGCTATTGTCCACTGAGTATGGGAGTCTATCTGTTACCATCTCCAATAATTTAACACCGAAGTTGTATATGTTACTCTCTATACCAGATCGCATATCCAGGAGTTCCATGGTCATGGATCCCATCTTGGAAGTAGTTGCCTCATTCCAAAAACTGAAATATGAGATTTTGGCTATATAGTCTTCAGTCAGATATATAATGGATGAGTGCAGGTTCTTGTAGATCATAGGTGGGGTCAGTTGGTGCATGTGCTCAATGCAGTATGCCATTCCCATAGAAATCCTCAGACATTATTGAGGATAACCCTACTGCCACATCATCAAGAGCTGCCAGGTAATCAGATAGATCTCCATCTCCAGATAGATCTTCTACAGATGTAACTCTATCCAGATTGAGATAGAACTCAACTAACTAGATAGACCCTATCAGATAGAGTTTAAATCTATGATAAAGTTCAATGTTATCTAGCTATCTCCAACTATTGTTGTACCCAAACTGTACTTCTTCATCTATAAATACATAGGGTTCGAATGGTTCATTCATTCCATCGAACCATTCTCTATATATTTGGATTTTCTACTTCTTGTTTTATTTCTTTAACTTGGTATCAAAGCTGGTTCTCATGGCTTCTTTCAATAGCTCGACAGGAGGAGAGATCAACAACCTAGGATCGTTGACACCACCATCTGCAACGGGTACGCCAGGTTCAATTCCAAATGTCTTTCACTATCTCCATATCAAGTTGAATAGCGACAATTACCTACTATGGCGAGCACAACTTCTTCCCATTCTTCGTACTCACAAACTCATGGGTATCGTAGAAGGGAAGACTCCTGCTCCTTTTGAAGAAATTGATGATCCTGAGGATCTGTCAAGGAAGATTATCAACCCATCATTTGATCACTGGTATCAACTGGATCAACTCGTACTCAATTGGATCATTTTTTCACTTACTAAGGGTATCCAAGCTCTGGTCGTAGGTATGTCCTCATCCTCTGAAGTTTGGAGTGCGTTGGAGGAGTCCTTTTCTTCCCCTTCACATTCCAGAGTCTTACAATTAAAGAGACAACTCCAATGTATCAAGAAAGGTACTCTTTCTATTTCTAAATACATACAGAAGGCCAAAGGTATTGCTGACAACCTTTCTACTGATTTTGAACCTGTCTCTCAACAAGATCTTGTTATGTGTATTTTGAGTGGAATCGGATCTGAATATGAATCCATTATTACTGCTATTGCTAATAGACCTGATTTTGATAGACTGAGAATTGCTGATGTTGTTGGCCAATTACTCAATCATGAGTCTTGGCTCAAAGAAAATCATTTTACTAAGTCTAATGATGGAGCTTCTACCAATTTTGCTTCAAACAATAAAAGTAACTCACAACACTCCCAGTAGTTGCGCAATAGTTCACAGCGCGGCAGAGGCAGAGGTGGTCGTGGGAACCAGAATGATGGTTCTGGAAGAGGCCATGGGCGTAGCAATATTATTTGTCAGTTGTGCAACATCCCTAGCCATGGTGCTTGGAAGTGTAGATGCAGGTTTGATATATCCTATCTTGGTCTAGATCGGCAACCTACTCAGAATCCCACACCGGATTTAGCTGCTGCTTTTCAAACTGGTTCCTCATCACAGTTCGATCTGGCCTGGTATTTGGACTTTGGAGCCACACACCACATCACATCCATTCTGGACAATCTACAGATTCAATCAGACTATGGAGGGTCTGACCATGTGAAAGTTGGTAATGGCGCAGGTTTGGAAATTAAAAATATTGGTTCTTCTGTTATTTCTCATGATAAAAATAAATTTTATCTTAAGGATATTTATGATGTTCCTTCTATTACAAAGAACCTACTTTCTGTCAGCAAATTTACCAAAGATAACAATGTTTTCTTTGAATTTCATCCTTCGTGTTTTCTCTTGAAGGATCATATGGGGAGAGTTCTACTCCGCGGGCCCAGTAAAGGTGGACTCTATCAGTTTCCCACTTCAGCCTCCATTCCTTCATCTTCCGGCAGTACTGCATTGGTTGGCGAGAAAGCATTAGTTCAGGTTCGGCATCATCGACTTGGGCATGCTTCATTTAAAGCAGTTCAACATGTGTTGTCTTAGTTCGGTCTTCCTTATAATGGTTCATTTGATATTTCAGTTTGTCATGTGTTAGTTAGGAAAAAGTCATCGTCTTCCCCTCCCTAGTTTGTCATCGTCGTACAGTAGTCCTTTAGAACTTATTTATTCAAATGTATGGGGACGAACTCTAGTTGAGTCAAATAATGGTTTTAAATATTATGTGTTATTTGTTGATGCTTTTTCTAAATTTTCTTGGATTTTCCCTATGCGTTGTAAATCTAATGTGTTTGAGATTTTTCTCAAATTTAAACAACATGTTGAGCTCTTATTTGATAGAAAAATTAAGTGTATTCAATCTGATTGGGGAGGGGAATATCAGAGACTTTCACAATATCTTGACTCTCAAGGCATTGGACACCGTCTCACCTGTATGCACACTCATGAGCAAAACGGCACAGTTGAAAGGAAGCATCGCCATGTGATAGAGTCCACTCTCACCTTACTGACCGCCGCTTCTCTCCCCCAGAATTTTTGGTTTGATGCAGCTGAGACTGCAGTTTTTCTAATCAACTGCATTCCTTCATAGACTCTTTAAGGCAAGTCACCATATGAACTTTTATTTCAGCACACACCAGATTATTCTCTGCTTCGCACTTTTGGTTGTGCATGTTATCCTTTTCTTCATCTGTACAACAAACATAAAATGGATTTCCGGTCTTCCCTCTACATATTTTTGGGGTACAGCTCCTCTCACAAGGGGTACTGCTGCTATGATGTTAAGACAAGACAACTCTGTATTTGCCACCATGTCATCTTTGATGAAGATCGGTTCCTTGGCTTTCCACCGCATCTTTAGCTCCAACACCCATCTCTAATGGTGTTCACTTACTTCCACTATGTATGTCTTAACTATCGGAACCTGTTCCTACAGCTTCATCATCACCCTAGACATCTTCCAAGACAGACGTACCCAGTTCCAATTCTAGTGATAATGATGTTGTAAGTGCTGGTCCTCCTTCTGCTTCAAATGAACTTCCACACGCGTGACCTCGGACACGGTTGGTTCAGGATCTAATGGACACCACACAGCCTATCCCTGCTCCAGTTCAGCACACTCATACTATGGTCACCAGGTCCATGCACTCTGAAGCCTCTCTGGCTACTCGGTACCCTCTACCACTCTACTATATCTGAACGTAGCACTTATTCCCAAGCCTCTAAACATCGTCATTGGTGTGAGGCAATGTCCAAGGAGTTTCAGGCTCTTGTTTAGAACAAGACTTAGGATCTTCCTCCGTATCATTCCTCGATAAATGTGGTACGTTCTAAATGGGTTTACAAGGTCAAATGGAAACCCAATGGATCTGTGGATCGCTATAAAGCCCGACTTGTTGCTCAGGGTTTTACACAAATCTCGGGTGTGGATTTTTCTGACACTTTTAGTCCCGTTGTTAAACCCACTACCATTCGTACTATCCTCTCTCTTGCCATTTCTCATCAATGGGTTATTCGGCAATTGGACTTTGATAATGCTTTTCTCAATGGTCTTGTAACTGAAATATTTACATGCGGCAGCCTAAGGGTTTTGAGGATGCAGATCGGCCCCATCATGTGTGCAAGTTGTCTAAAGCCCTTTATTGGTCTTCAACAGGCTCCTAGAGCTTGGTTCTCACGCCTTAGCTCTAAGCTTGTTGAACTGGGATTTCGTACCTCTAGCTGTGATCCCTCTCTTTTTATTTACTCTCATGGTGTTCACCGTATCTACTTGTTGTTATATGTGGACAATGTTATACTTACTAGCAGTTCCTCAGCTATTATCCATTTTTTTATTGCCAAACTGAGCTGTATGTTTTAACTTAAGGATCTTGGTGATCTCCACTATTTTTTGGGTATTGAAGCATACAGGGATCACATCGGACTTTACCTCTGCCAATGCCGGTACATTATTGATCTTCTTCATCATGCTGGGCTGGMTGGTGCTAAACCTCTCTCTACTCCAATGGCGGCAAGTGCTAAACTCTCTAGAATTCATGGGTCTCCTCTCTCTGACCCATCTCAATATAGGAGTTTTGTGGGCAAACTGCAATATCTTACTTTCACTAGGCCTAACATCAGTTTTGCGGTCAACAAGGCCTATCAGTTTTTACATAATCTCACTGATGAACATTGGATAGCAGTAAAACGTATTCTTTGGTATCTTAAATGTACCCTAGATCACACTTTGTTCTTCTCCTCTCAGTCCTTTACCAGACTCTTGGCTTTTTTTGATGTTGATTGGGCAGGATGCCCTAATGACCGCCATCTACTAGTGGGTATTGTGTTTATCTTGGTTCTCATCTAGTCAGTTGGAGTGCTATGAAGCAGTGGACTGTTGCTAGATCCAGTACAGAAGCAGAGTTTCGGTCCCTTGCCAATATTGCCACCGAATTAATTTGGTTGTAGTCTCTTTTACAGGATCTTGGAGTTCAACTTCCATTTGCTCCATCACTTTATTGTGATAATGCCAGAGCTTGTTATCTTGTAGCTCATCCGATCTTCCATGCTCGGACTCATCATATAGAAGTTGACTTTCACTTCCTACGGGATCATATTCTCAAGAAGACTCTTCAACTCCATCTTGTTTAGTCCCTGCATCAGCTCACTAACATTTTCACAAAACCATTGGCTTCTCCTCATTTTTTATCTATTATGGACAAGCTGCATGTGCTTCCAATGCCCATTCGCTTGAGGGAGTGTATTGAGGATAACCCTACTACCACATCATCAGGAGCTGCCATGTCATTAGATAGATCTCCTTCTATAGATGTAACTCTATCCAGTTTGAGATAGAACTCGACTAACTAAATAGACCCTATTAGATAGAGTTTAAATCTATGATAAAGTTCAACGTTGTCTGGCTATCTCCAACTATTGTTGTACCCAAACTATACTTCTTCATCTATAAATACATAGGGTTTGAATTGATCATTCATTCCATTAAACCATTCTCCATATATTTGGTTTTTCTACTTCTTGTTTTATTTCTTTAACTGATATATTCCCCAGTCCAAGCACTCTGCCCCTTTAATTACATGATCCCACCACAAATCTCAAATCAACTAAAGTACAAAAGCATATGGACTTCACTTACTACATAACCAAATGATCAATACTTGAAGTAACGACCAAGTATAAATTGATCAGCAAGATGCATTATTTGAG